GTGTGTGTGTGTGTGTGTGTGTGTGTGTGTGTGTGTGTGTGTGTGTGAGAGAGAGAAAAATGGCCAGGGATGAACAGGAGACTAATGCGCAGCAAAGACGTCCCCCCCACACACACATACGGCACAGTAAACACTCTCTCTCTGTCTTCCCTCTTCCCAGTCCTCTGTCAGTGTGCCATCCATCAGGTCCCAGTTTGTCGTCATGGAGCCTCTCACCACCAGACACCCAGCAAGAAGGAAATGCGGAGTGCTAATCCCATCACTGAGATTCAACATCTGACATACACACACACACATACACACACAACAGCGTTCGTGAAATGTGTGTGTGTGTGTGTGTGTGTCCACACATGTATTTGGTAGCTTTTCGTGTGATAGAAGCTCATTGCTGCTTCCAAAGGGACCTCTATTTGGATCTCTTTCACTTATTAGGCCCTTAATTGGTGCTTTGCTTGAAAACCCTCAGAACTAAAAGGGTATTTACTGTACTACTTAAGACAGGAGATAAGACAGAGGAGATGACAGGCAATGAGCAGGACAAAAAAAGGCCTTTTCATCAGTAATTGTAGCATTAAAATGGTTCAGTTTGGTCATTACAAAGTCTACTTTATAATATGTACATTTAGAGACATTACATGTAATATCTTTTCAAAAGATACCATTACTTTGGCGGAACCATTAAATACGTGGTACCTTTGTAGTATTTGTGTGTTTAATCTCTGCAGATTCCAGTTATGCACGTACACACGCTGGCAAGCGCTTATCTTCTTCTCATCCTCCCTCGTCTCTTCCTTTTGTATCTGAGGATAATAATTTTCAGAGCAGTTGATGATATTTGGACCATCTGTCGGGAGTTTCATTTGATAAAGTAGGTTTATAAAGAAGTGGAGGCAACAGTCACGGAAAAGGTCAATCTCTGATCATAATGTGTGCGCGCACACTCCATCTATCCATCTATCCATCTATCACAAATATATAGCATGTTTGCTTAGTGCAATAATGAATTTCGTAATAAATTAGGCTGTTGTGGCAGATTCTGTCAGACGTGTCTGCTGGAGTTTACTCATCTGTTTTCACCTCCTTTCATGCAGTGGCAGGTTTCACGCATATGTTTGCAGCATTGCGGTGAGATTGTTTACTGCTGTGGGGTTAGTGATTTTTTACTTTTACTTTGTCTTTTTATTTTGAGAACAAAAACAATCTACAAGAAACTTCCTAACCATTTTATTCCCAAGTGCTACAGAAAAAGAACATTTCTTCTCTTTCAAATGTCACATTCGATTGTGCTTGAAGTAATGATTCTCAGTACTTGTCTTTTCTGTATTTTCTTCTAGCAAATCAAAGACAGGGGACCCTCCCTTGTTGGCACTACTTCGTTCAGATATAAGCTGTTTGTGTCACAAGCCCAAAGACATTGAATATGTTATTGCAAACTTCTTATTTATCATTTGCTTTCTCATGATTGTCTACGAATTGTTTCTTGCTCTGACCGAATTATGTTTAACTTGATGTGTTTGGTATCTTTAATACAACTCTTCAACCAGTTAGTCTCTGAGATGTCTCTAAAGCTGGTGAATCTCACCAAAGGATCAGAAAACTGAGCAACAGCTTTTTTTTCTCTTGATCTTGCTGTGGCGGCCTGGCAGGACACCATCGCCTGTTTTGGGATTGTTTGAAAATTTCATTGCCTCCTTTATACATTTTAATTGCGAAAGGGAATTCATTAATTTCAGTCCGGCACATTTTATCTGTTTCTCTCGCTCTTTGTCTAACATTCACATACACACAAACACACACACACCGTACAGTAGGATTGCTTCCCACCAGACGCTTTACTAAGCGTTGCATCCTTTTTATCAAAACAGCTTTGCAGCTCAGCTTTAGTGTGCACGGCTTTAAATCCAGGCTCGTGCAGCTTACATTCTGCTGTGGATTGAACGCAAAAAGTTTAACCTCACTTAATTCAAAGCTAGGGATGTTCTGCTTTTGGTGGTGTGAGCGTATGTTATGGTTCTAGGATAAGTAATGAGGGAGACAAGGTAGCAGTGGCGTGAAACAAGGTATAAAACCAGAAAACGATGATAAATGAAGCATCTTAAGCCCCTTGTCTGTTGAAACCTGTC